GAGAGAGAGAGAGAGAGAGAGAGAGAGAGAGAGAGAGAGAGAGAGCTGCTCTGCAAGTATTGTAGAATTTGTAAATCTGATTGATGTATATTTTTAAATCTCAGTTGAATGTAAGAATACACACTAATGAGCTTCACGAATTCTACACAGTTGCAAAGTAGCTTTCTCTACTGAACGCAGCCGAGATATGCCATATTGACTTATTGCGACCTGCTGCTTTCTTTCGCATACAGACATTAAAGTTACATTGTGTCATAAAATTACAACGACATGAAAATTACAACGACATGATTATCGTTTCAGCTGAAAAATCCAAAATAACGTATCACCTAGTTACCAATATTTTATCTTTGCACATTTCTCATGAGTCTCCAGTTCTCACTTATGTACTTCCATTCGATGTTTTGTGCCACCGTTATGGTTTATTAATAAACCTGTTTGACTCGAAAGGACGATTTTACTGACCCGCGATAACGAACAAACAAACAAGTACACACACACACATATACGCGCGCGCGCGCACAACGTAGCGCGAAGGATCACGAGCTATTATTTTATTTATTGTTTCCAGCTATCGTCGAGTTATTACGCGGAAATGCGAAACTGTTAGAATTTACCCGGCGGCGCAAGCGATGCCCGCTGTTAAAAATAAACGTGTACACTCAAGCTTGCAGATTAGACGCGGAACGAACTCGCGTGGGAAAATGTGCGTGCTTTTTTAATTTTTCTCTTTCGCTCACTGATAGAACAACGCCGCGCGCGCATCTGTGTGTGTTTGTTTGTTTCTGTGTATTTCACGTAAACACGGACGAAACCTATGAATTTCGAAACAGCTCTAATTAAGCGTTACATATTTCAGTATTTTAATACACACGCGGTCGTAATTTCCCAGTTAGATTACGCGAAGGATTTTACGTGGAGATTTTCGTAACATCAGATGTTATGAAATTGGGGAGCTATTAATAGCAACTTTGTACATTTGTAATGTGTGTGCGTGCATGCGCGCGCGCGCGCGTGTGTGTCGAGCGACATAATTTCACTTGCTAATCATGAACCTAATTAATTTTATCGAGTCGATTAATGGTGAACCGCGCCGCGACGAAATAGCGCACATTGAGCAATAAACAGAGGATGTGATCTAATTAACTCATAGGAATGGGATAACAGCGCGACAACTCGATCGATGGGTCGTCGAATTTTCTTTCTTTCCTCGCGCAAACTTTCCAATCACGACGAATACGGCCGGAAACGATCGAGCGTGTCGCACACGACTGTGTGTCTCGCCGACCAATAATTCATCGCTGTTTTCTTTCTTTTTTTTTAATTTATTGTTTGTATTTTTATCGCCGGTGGTTGCCTTTAACCTGCTAGATAAACATCGCGAAGCAAGCAGACAGCGACGAGCGCGGAAAAATACGTTCCGAATAAGCAAAAAAAAAAGAAGAAAAAATGAGAAAAGGGAAAAATGTGTGCCACTCGTTCAAATCCAGCCATATTGTTCGTGCGTAAATATCGATATATGAAACGAGTGCTATCGATGAAGCTCGATGAGAACTCTCGAGGCCAATCGATCTCTCAAGTGTTCCACACGCGAGAGCGTGTTTATTTCCGGTCTAATTGCCGCAGCGTAAAAACTTGTTTAAACTTGTTGATACACAACCTGTGATTTTTTGAAAAATATCTTGGAATTATTTTCAAAGAACACATTAAGGGAATCATTTATTAATTGGAGAATGCCAAATTAACATAATATACGTTTTGTAACATTTGGTCTGTTCTTTTCAGCTGCACTGCTGAACTGCAGGAATAAGTTAAAGTGAGACAAGTATATGTTTTCTCACTCTAACTTATTGCATCTGTTTAGCAATGCTAAAAAGAACAGATCAATTGAGTAGCAGAGATACCTGCAGCTATATATTGAGGTAGAAAGAGACAGAGAGGGAAAGAGAGAGAGCGAGAACGTGTCAACAAGTAGTTACGCCACGTTAGGTTAGGTTAGAGTTAGGGTTTAAAGTTCCGGCTTAACTATCGGAATATATACCGTTACGTTAAGATATGTTCGAACATGTTCGGACTTGCGATTGTTTAAGAAACGTATCTTTTGGTATATTGGTGAAAGTGCCGTAAAGAAAGGTCTGAATCCAAGTAAAATAACTAGAGACAAGAGAAAGAGAGAGACAAGAGTTAGGTTATGTTCGCCGGAATTGTGCTACAGTTTAGCGTTACTTGAACATGATATCGGGACATAATATCAGATAATTTTTGATAACGCTTTACCAAATAATCGTCTCGTCAAGTGATCACATCGATTTGTACGTGCGTGCAAGAAAAATCCAACAAACCTCCGACAATGTAAGTTGCGTCTCATTGAGCTGTTGTGTTTGCGACAACGTTTGTCAAGACGGAATATTCGAGAGCACACTTTGCTAAAACAATCTCGCTTTTTTCCTCAGGATGGACGACCAAGCGTGTCCACGATGCAAGACCACCAAATACCGAAATCCGTCGCTGAAGATGATGGTCAACGTCTGTGGCCATGCATTGTGCGAAAGCTGCGTGGATTTACTGTTTCTCAAAGGTTAGGAACGATAAGTTAAAACAGGATATTTATGTTTAAAGTATGACACGAGTATAAAAAATAGGAAATAGAATATACAAAATGTGGCAAATATTGCTACGATCACTTATTCCTATCACTCACTTCGTTATCCTCAAGGCTAGATCCACAATAGATGTAGTAAGTTTAGTTTTTGCTCTAAGCTCTAAACTGTAACATAATTTTTGACACAAGGTATCTTTCATGTTACGAAAATATGAAAGTCTCAAACTCTAAAAAGATATACAACAAAGAATTGTGTCTGATGGCACAGGGAACAACTCTTGCCAGAAATGCAGTTACAGCTTAGAATTTAGAACAACAAGCCTACCACAGTTATTGTAGATCAAGTCTAATGCACAAAATGAATAATAATAATCTCAACTACATTATACAATTAAATTGTCTAGGATCTGGATCCTGCCCAGAATGCAAGATTCCTCTGAGGAGAACAAACTTCAGAGTGCAGTTGTTTGAGGATCCCATGGTGGAGAAGGAGGTGAACATAAGAAAGCGCATCCTACGAGACTACAACAAGAAGCAGGAGGACTTTGCGACATTGAACGAGTACAACGATTATCTAGAGGAGATTGAGCACGTAATATACAACTTGGCAAACAACATCGACGTGGCCGAGACTAACAAGAGGATAGAGCAGTACAAGAAGGACAACAAGGAGCAGATAGCGAAGAGTAAGTCTAAACTGGGCAGGAGCGAGTATGAATTGGAAGAGATGCTGGAACTGGAGAAGCAAAAAGACGAAGAGAGGAGGATAGAGCTCATTCGCCAGGAGGCCGAGGCCAAGAAGAAGAAGATTCGCGAGAAGGAGGCCCTGATAGACGAGCTCATGTTCTCGGAGGGGAACGCGAAGATTATCGTCAAGTCGTTCGCGAGCGCGATGCAGTCGTCCAAGAAGGACGCCAAATCCGCCAACACCGCCGTGCGAGCCACCCAGTTCAGCACGGGCATCAAGTTCGGCAATCAGGGCGGTCAGAATTATCTGTCGGTGCCAAAGATTGAGGAGGGACCGCTTTACGCTTATACACCGATCCGGCAACAGACCGAAGGTCCATCACCGCCGGGCTGGCGGGAATTGCAGTCTCGCGGATACGTCACAAACATACGCAATGAGTCCCAGTCTGAAAGAGCTGGTGGATTCAAGGCGCATGTCGCGTGTCTGCGAGCGCTGCAGGAAGCGATGGCGGGCCTGTATCATAATCCTTCGCAGCGCCAGGCAGAATTCGACGCCGTATGACCGCGTAAATTATCTCTGCGCACGATCCCAACCGTGACCTCGAGCATCTTCTTGTTCCGTCTTTCTCCGCGCGATTGTGTCGACCGTTCGGCGGTGGAAACTAATTTAAGGATTCGAACAGACGAACCACTTTGCGGTGCCACAGACCCGTGCAGATGGGCTGCTTTGTCGCGCCACGAAGAAACGTTTCAGAGTAATGTGTATACATAACAAACCTACTTTTTTCTAAAAAAAAAAAAGGTAAAAAAGGACGCCAAGTGTATGCGCTTTCTCGTATAAATAAATATCATAAAAAAAGTTATTGGTAAAATTCTTACAAAAAGAAATAGTATCAAATGGTTTATATCAAGTGAAATTAATTTTATACACAATAAATATTATTATAACTACTTTGTATGTATGAACACTACATTAAGTATCTACTGACTTTATTTTTTTATAATTACACAAAAAATAATTTTTAAAAGCTTATTTAGTAAACGTACAAAATAAAAATTTTGGGAAAAGTTAAATAAAATTTCACACGCACACACAAAACACTTGGCGTGCCAGAGAGGATCGCATTAATACTTTTAATGCTTTACGAAAATCTTTGTATTTGAACATATATTGTACGAGTAGCATTAAAAGAATGGGCACGCTAAGTATTTTGTGTATGTGTGAAATTTTACCCTGGCATGCCAAGTGCGTGTTTTCTGTGTGCGTGTGAAATTTTATTTAACTTTTTCCAAAATTTTTATTTTGGTATGTTTACTAAATAAACTTTTAAACATTATTTTTTCCCACTTCTATATTATCAGAAAATAAAGTCAGTAGATATTTAATGTAGTGTTTATACATACAAAGTAATTATAATAATATTTATTGTTATGAAATTAATTTCACTTGGCGTAAACCGTCTGATATCATTTCTTTTTGTGAGAATTTTACCAATAACTTTTTTTATAATATTTATTTATACGAGAAAGCGCATGCACTTGCCGCCTTTTTTTACCTTTTTTTTTTTTAGTAAAAGGTACGTAGGTTACGATATTACACCTTTTTCTCGAAAATAATTAATAAATATCTATTGTACACAAATATGACATAAAATGCATCAATAAATTGATACAGATAGATGAGATTAAATATATTTATTCTTTAGTATAAAAAATAGAAGTCTATTTTGCTCTCTTGTATTTCTCTCTGTGCTATCTTTTCACTCTGCCTCCTCTGTTTTTCTTCTCGTTTTCTATCCTTTCTTTTTCTCTCTCTCCCTCTCTCTCTCTCCCCCTCTCTGTCCCCCTCTTTCTCCCACCCTCTCTCTCTCTCTCCCTCTCTCTCTCTTTCTATCTCTGTACACAACATTGTCTCCATCTATCATGTAAATGATCAAAACATTTAATAATTTTTTTCGAAATAGAATACTTATCAATTTCCTGCTAGAATTCTGATACCTCCTCGCTTATTATGTTCTCCTGATACCAAAACGTGAAAATCGACTCCTGATACCAAGTCGTGAAAACTGAATTCTCCAAGTTCGAATTTCCCGCCAGAATTTTGGATACCTCGTCGCTCATTGTTCTCCTGAGCCTATATTCTTGAAATTTCTCCCACCAGTACTTCGGATACCTCCTCGTTCATTATGTTCTCCTGATACCAAAACGTGAAAATCGGCGAAACTGAATTCTCCAAGTTCGAATTTCCCGCTAGAATTTTGAATATCTTGTCGTTTATTATGTTCTCCTGGGCCCTTATTCTTGAAATTTTTGCGTATACATAATTTTTATTGCGCAGCTATTTTATGGTATGATTAAACCTGCGCAGTAAAACTTACGTATACGCAACTATTTCAAGAATAAGAGCCCTGGGCCTATATATTCTTGAAATTTTTGCGTATACGTAATTTTCATTGCGCAGCTATTTTATGGTATGATTAAACCTGCGCAGTAAAATTAACGTATACGCAACTATTTCAAGAATAAGGGTCCTGATACCAAAACACAAAAATCGAGGAAACTGAATTTTCTAAGTTCGAATTTCCCGCTAGAACTTCGGATACTTCGGTTGTTTTCCAACAAGAGACACAAGTCGATACAAACATCATTCTATCTTTGTTCCACATCTAGTGAGTAACAAGGATAGGATGATACTTGTGTCGACTTGTGTCTCTTGTTGAAAAGCAATCTTCCTCGCTCATTATGTTCTCTTGATACCAAACGCAAAAATCAAGGAAACTGATTTCTCTAAGTTCGAATTTCCCGCCAGAACTTCGGATACCTCTTTGCTGATTATGTTCTCCTGATACTAAAACGCAAAAATCGAGGACTGTGACGCCATAAATACTTCGCGTCAATTTAATGCTGTGGCGCCATCTATCGAAAAAAGAACGACACTTCACGTTTTGTGCCCGACGATGTTTCTTAATGAGAAATTCGAGCACTTTGAAATTAAGAATCTTCAATATTATGCATTTGAAGCAAACAGAAAGACACTTTCTTAAGTAACTGGACCCTGAGGAATTGATTAAACATACTTAAAAATCGGATCAGTCATTATGGCTGTACGACAAATCTGACTATCAGGAAGTAAACGTGTCGCGTATAATTACACGGCCAGCCTCGCAGCTCGTACCGAGCTTTGTGCGTGCACTTGGCGCGAGACACTACCGTGTCTCTTGATATAAGCGCAGAAATTACCACAAGAAAGGAATGACAAAGTTTTAATGGAATCCTTGTGTCTTGCGTTCTTCTGGGCTTGTGGCGTGTCTGTTATATGCATCACTTTGAAGCTTCTCGATGATGTCATAGAACAGCCCGTTTGTGCAGGTCTCTGGCGCTTCTCTGTGGCATCACAAAGTGGTTCGTTTATTCGAAGCTTCCAAGTGATTGCGCAACGGCAGCGTCGAGTCAGGAAACGTCGCATTCTGTTCGTCGTGGCAGTTTATGCCTCACTAGATCATCGTGAGGACAGAATTGTGCCTTTGACGGGAATCGATGCGTACTTTTGGACATCGACATATAACATCCTTTGAATCGTGGCTGTGTCTTGTGCAATATTGTTGTTATTTAAGAACGATAAGTTAAAAGCGCGCGCGAGTATCTACGCGCACACAGATACATACATACATGCTGGCTTGTCAGTCGAACGACCATGCGAACGTTCAGGCTCTAATTGGCGCGTGTTAATTTGCCGATCGATGCATACGTGATATGCATTATTGCAACCAAAATTACCAAAGCAACGCTATTGTCGGAGACAATTTTCCGCTCTGTCGAATATACTCCGAAGTAATTTTAGCCGTTTCTACCGATTGAAATAAATGTTAATTATGGCTAACGTGTATGGATGAATTATTCCCTTCGAAATCAGTTGAGATCGAATTGATGACTCACCAATACCCAAACAGCACACGATATGTTCAGTACATGGATGTTCTGTGGATGTCCTTAGGACATCGGACGACCGCAGGACATCCTCAGGACATCCCGAGGAGATTTGTGCTGTCTGGGTATTGATACTTTTGATTTTCTTCAATTGAAGACGGCGGAAGTGCTTTGCACACGATGAAAATATACTAATATGTTATAAATTGTGATGTATATTCATGTCATATACATAGCGACAATGGAAAAAAATTTTTTAAATAAGAATAAGTAAAAGTCGTGATCATTATTGACTATTTTCTTGCATGAAATTGTTGCCTTTCAATGCCTATAACTTTAAATTACTCTTCTGGAGAAAACTGATTTTTATAAAAAATATCAAATAAAATATAATAAATATACAAAGTATTGACGTATCATTGAAAAGAATTTTGTCTCAAACCTAGTGCTTTTACCATATTTTGCATACTTTTTTTTTTTTAATTTTTGCCACAAGTTTTATAATCTTTCCATTCTCTATTTGTTTTCTACATGCTATTTGTAGCAATCACTATCATAATTCTTAGTTAAGGAAAGTGATGTTTCATAGCGAAGGCTTGGAAATAATTTATACACAAATATCGAGCCCAAGGAATACGTTAAACCCATTATTTCTGTAAGTATATAGTTAATACAGGACTCTTATTCTTGAAATAGTTGCGTATACGTAAGTTTTACTGCAATTTAATCATACCATAAAATAGCTGCGCAATGAAAATTAATCTCCGTCCCCCCCCCCCCC